AATCAAACAATGGAGTACATCCCTTTCCACTCCCAAATAATCATACATGTACAATGTATATAGACATGGCCATATTCACTGACAACCATCAAAAGATTAGTTTCAATTCGCCTAATGTACATGCTATTTCTACAACAATCAAAGCTATCCTCCACCGATAGCCCAATACAGTTATATCTAAACATATATTCAATCTCAAACTAATAGTTTATTCCAAACATCCAAAGGTGTGAAGTAATACATATTCAATTCCACCATTTATATCGAAAATCATCCAATTTCACATTTTCAATGTCAATTTCAATTATTTATACAAAATAGCAATTTGATTCAATTAGGGAAAAAACCCCATTTTCGCAAATATCAACCCAAGTACCAAAATTTACCATTTTGACACAACATGAACATATTTTCAGCCTCCAAACTCATTTATTCCACATTCACCAAAAATTCATCTTTTTCATTTCACTCCAAAACCCTAGATTTGATCAAACTACTCCCAAATCCCACCATTGTTACACAATAACAAATAACTAAGCTAAAAATCATATGAAAGTGTAGAAAAATTCCTACCTCAAAGGAAGAAGATGAGCCAAGAAAGAGTGAGACTCCAAGAATGACGAAACCCACTTTTAATTGGATCAAAATGAAGATCTTGATGCACTCTACCTTTTTCTCAAACACTAGGGTGGAAATCCCAACGGATCTAGATGAAATCTTAGAGAGAATGTGAGTTTTAGAGAGAGGATGTGTAGATCTAGGTTTTTGGAAAGTTTAGAGACAGAGAGAGAGAGATAGAAGAAAAAGTGTTTCAAAATGTCATCTTCACGGACTGTTATACACGCAGTCTGCTCGAGCGTGGAAAGTGACGCTTGAGTGTCAGACACAAGGTTCCGCTTGAGCGTGAAAAGTGACGCTCGAGCGTAGGATACGTATTTCTAGAAGTTTTGTATACGAAGGATCCCGCTTGAGCGTGAGACTGGACGCTCGAGCGTCCAATGCATTCTCCCAATATTTGCAGAACTACAAAAATGCTGAAAGTTGACAAATCCCGCTTGAGCGCAAGAATGGTCGTTTGAATGGAGGAGCAAAATTTGTGAAGCCCGCTCAAGCGCAAGAATTCCTGCTCGAGCGGAGGCGCCAACATCTGGGCAACAAAGGTTTAGAAAAACAAGCAATCAATCTGTTCCAAACGCACAGCTACAACCCAAAAACCAAAATATGGGGGAAACAAGGGAAACAAGATATGAATAATCATTCTAAACCATACCAACCCAAGTCTGGAATACAATAGATAACGAGTCAAAACCGAAATCGCTATAACTTCTATATTCTTACTTTTACATGCAAAAATATTATAAAATAAAAAATACATATAACATGATTCAATTTGATTCAGAATTGTAACCAAAACCTTAGAACTAAGAATTGAACCAATTTGAAAGGTTTAACCATTTTCAAAACTGGAGTCTGTATTAAAACTCATAAAAATCAAACCAAAATAACAATTTGGATTAGATTGGATTAGTTTATCAGTTCCACCAGTTTTTTTTTATTTTTTTTTTATTTTTTAAATACCTCTAATTGGTGATGCTTATAAGTTTTTATTTTTTATTTTTAATTTAAAAATTTGTCAAAGTATTTTGTATAGATTTTACCCATGGTTTATGGGGTATAAATAGCTTAAATAAATTGAAAAAACTAATTAGCTGGAAGAAAGAGGATAGATGTTTTTAGTTTCTGATTTTTTATTATCAAAATTTTTAATAAGTTGGCCACCATGACTCTCATAAGAGTTTAGTCCCATGGGGGAGGTCATGGGCTTAACTCTCCCTAAGGGAGAGTTGAATTAGGAGGCACACACTTGCCACTTTACAACAATGGGGAGATTAACTTCCATAGGTACTAATCTAATAATAAACAACTAACAACAAACTTTCCCCAACTAAAAAAAAAACTTGGAACTTTTCACTTAGCAAATTTGTGCCAAATAGGCCCTTAAGTGGTGGAGAAAACATTTTGCAAGGGTTCTTAAATTGATATCTTGCCAAGTTCTACTCTAAATATTGGCATACTTCCTCTTGGAATGTGCTTTCTTTGCTGTCGGATGCAATAAACCCATGTTTTCTTAGAAATCCTACTCAAATATTTGTATGAAAAAACAAAAACTTTAGGTTGGTCTCATTGTCATGTTAATGGTTCCAACATGAGATGTTCAAAGTGATTGGAAAACTGTTGCATTTCTCATTGCTTTCTAAGATGCCTTCAATCACTAGATAGAATGATTTATGGAACTTATTGTATGCTTTGCTAGGCTTATTTGCTCTTCTTATCACTTTATTTTTTCTTCTTTTAACTGCCTTAGTCACAATGCTGAAACTATGTTCATTTTTCTTATAGCTCAAATCTTCCTCTTGTTGGTTATCATAGGTATGGCATGTTATATTTTGCATTTATTCTATTTAGTGAACACTGTGAAAAGTTATATAATTCAAAGGAAATGGCCCTTAACACAAAAGAAAATAGTATAAAATGAAATGCAACGTTATAAAAGAAAATTTGAACATAATTTCTTGCAAATTAGGTAATAACGGTTCTTTATCTACCTACATAGGACAATCCTAGCAGGACTTTATGTGTGCCATGCTTGTTTGGATTTTTAATCTATAAGTTCAGGACAAGGCATTTATCGATGTTTGAAAGCATTGAAGGTTTCCAATGAAATCAAAATAATCTCACGCCTATTAGGTACTCATACTCAGATATCAAGAAGATGACCAAAGGTTTTAGGGACAAGTTGGGAGAAGGAGGCTATGGTTCTGTATACAAAGGAAAGCTTCAAAGTGGCATTGTTGTGGCAGTTTAGATGCTGAGTAAGCCTAAAGCTGATAGATAAGAATTCATAAATGAAGTTGCCACCATAGGAAGGATACATCATGTCAACGTGGTTCTGCTAATTGGATTTTGTGCTGAGAGATCTAAGCGTGCTCTTATTTATGACTTCATGCCTAATGGGTCTCTTGAGAAATACATCTTTTCTGGAAAAGGAAAAAATTCCTTAAGTTGTGAGCAAATGTATGAAATCTCACTTGGAGTGGCACGGGGGATTGAATATTTGCATCCAGGTTGTGACATGCAAATCTTGCATTTTGATATAAAACCTCACAACATTCTCCTTGATGAGAATTACACTCCAAAAGTTTCTGACTTTGGGCTTGGAAAATTGTATCCAACAGTTGATAGTATTGTGCTTCTCACTGCAACAAGAGGAACCATGGGTTACATGGCCCCAGAGTTATTCTACAAAAACATTGAAGGTGTTTCATATAAAGTTGACGTTTATAGTTTTGGAATGTTGTTGATGGAAATAGCAGGAAAGAGGAGGAATTGGAATGCATCAGCTAATTCAAGCCAAACTTATTTCCCTCTGTGGGTTTATGACCAATTCACAAATAGAAAGCTTGTAGAAATGGGAGAGACGACGAAGGAGGAGAAAGAGATGGTAATGAAGATGATTGTAGTAACTTTATGGTGGATACAAATGAAGCCTATTAACCATCCTGCCATGAACAAAGTCATAGAGATGCTCCAAGGAAGTATTAAAGTTATTCATATACCTCCTGTGGGGACATATTTTTAGGGTCGTGCATGCGGACGTGCCAGATTGCCGAGGTGATTATGGTATTGCTGATGTATGGTGTAGTAATATCGGAATCCCGAGATATTTAGATAAGGGACAAGAATCCTAGATATGTGATACGCTTAGCTCGGATAAAGATGAAGCTTTTGAGGAGTTCATCCATATCTAACTAAGAGTCCAAGATAAGCATTGTGCTTGCGTCCTATGAAGTGTGACTGCTAGGAGACGAGGGCACTATTAGCTATAAAAGTAAGGCACCACTGTTGGTATAAGGTAAGGTTTTACTTGTGCACTGAATACTTGATTTGATATCTTCGAGAGATAAGTGACTGACTTGATCGTCAAAGTGCCTTCGGGTGGATGAGCCACCGTGGTATTCTAGTCTCCTTGTTGGCAGGTGCTTGGTTTAATCTATTATGGCACGTGTTCTCTAGCTAAGTTCCCTGTTTGGTTGTGAGATAGGAAATCAACACCCATTATTTGGCACTGTTTGTGGGAACTTAGTAAAGAATAGATGGCCAACATCGGACTGGAGGTGAGAGTCAGGGATGACATACACAATCAGGAAGAGGAGTACGTGGATCCAAATGACAGAGGAGGAAACAATGACAAAGAAGTGCAAGAAGTAAATCTTGAAGTGAACAATGTCGTCAAGGGCCGTAATGGCCTGAGAAGAGGCAATTGAGAAGAATATTACAACGAGAGTGACTTACCAGTATGGAAAGAAAGGTGTCTGAGAAGAGATGATGAGGTGAAGGACCTGGCCAATAAACTGACGGACCTGCAAACTGTGGCAAACTTCATGATGTAGAGCAAGGTGATGCAGCTAGTGTTGCCCTTACTGGAAACGCCGACCCCAGCAGTAAATGCCAACACAGAGAAAACAAGACAGGTTGCAGTACCAACTATCCCACAACACGAAAAAAGACTTGGGAACTCACATCGGCGATCACAGAATGCTAGACAGACAGAATCATGGTGGAAAGAATCTAAGAGAACCTCGAGGACCAAGGGAACCCAGATCAAAGGATCTCGGCAGGTCAATGGGCAAGGCCTCTATTTTGATGAAATAATAGATGTGGAGAAGTCTAAGAGAACGCATCCTAACACAGGAAGTAGTGCACCAAGGAGACTAAAATCAACCAATCGCCGAGCTCCTAGGCGGACGAAGGAAGACTTGTAAAACTACTTCTAGAGGAAGAGATAAGGCGTCAAGGTCACATCCACCACTCAGTTGAGAACGCCTTTCTTGGTAGACTTTGATGCATTCGAGGCACCAAAGAGATTTAGTATCCCGAGGTTCTAGATCTACAATGGTAAGTTAGACCCAAACTTCCATGTTGGTTCATATTTTAATGCAATGTCTCTATGGAGTGGAAATGAGCAGTTGTTATGCAAAGTGTTCCCTTCGACAATTGGGGAAATAGCATCAGATTGGTTCCTTAAACTGCCAAAGGGATGCATCAAGAATTATGAAGGACTGGCTGAGATGTTTGTGGCCAAGTTTGTTATGAACAGATTGTAGCCACTCAGGCTCGACTCCCTGTTGGCCTTGAAGATTGACAATGGTGAAAGCCTTAGAGCTTACGCAAAGAGATACTATGAAGTTTACAATCGGATACCGACTTGTAACCAGGAACTTGCAATCGTGTCTTTTAAGAACAGCTTGGAGAATGATTGCCCTCTTTGGCAATCCCTTGCAAAGACCCTCCTAAAAAGCATGGAGGATCTCATGGCAAGGATCAAGAAGTATGCAAGGGTGGAGGAAGACAAAAAAACAAAGAAGGTGAGTGTAGTGAAGCAAGAGAAGAGAAACGACATATCAAAGCGCAGTCGAGGAAATAACGGCATTGACAAGCCGAAACATGGATTGAGGGTTACGCAGGCCATGAGCACAGTTTTAAAGATCTCGATCTATAGGATCTTGGAGAAGATCAAGAAGCAGCCCTACTTCAGGGCACCGCAGAAGACCTCGGAGGAGTACATGGACAGGAACCCCGGGAAAAATTGTGCCTACCATGATGAGAATGGACACATGACTCAAGGGTGTTGGACTCTAAAGAAACACCCGGAGGACCTGGTTAGGCATGGACACCTAAAAGACTTGATAGATGAAACAAAGACAAGATAGGAACAGGCGAAGCTAGCCCAGGTGTCGGCAGCAGCAGCACCACTCCTGGCGCTATGAGTGGATGGATCTTGGGTTATCAACGCGATCCATACAAAGGACAATGCAAATGAGATTCGAGGAGAGACACAAAGGGTAAGGCATTTGCAACATGTCTTCCAAGTCCAACAGAAGAAGCCTCGGATAGAAGGACACTGGGGCCCGATGATATCTTTCACAGACGAGGACCTAGACATGGTGCAACATCCGCACAACGACACACTGGTTGTGACACTAAAGATTAGAGATTGCCAAGTAAGACATATACTAATCGATCAAGGTAGTGCCTGCGACATCATGTATGTCAAATGTTACAAGGAGCTCAGTCATCACAAAGACGACTTGAAGCAATCCGACAACCCCATGGTCGAATTTAATGGGACCCTGACATTGCTGCTGGGAATAACAAACCTGGAGATTCAGGCAGGAAGAAAGACGGTAACTATGCAGTTCACCGTGATAGACACCCCTTCCCCAAACATCATCTTGGGAAGGCCTTGGATGCATGATATGAGGGTTGTTCCCTCAACTTTGCACCAGTTGTTGCGATTCCCAACTGAATTTGGGATCGAAAAGGTGAGAGGACACTAAGTGCAGGCAAAAAATTGCTCCATAATAGTAATGAAGTACACCTGCAGTGTCAGAAAAGTTAAGATGGCAGAAGTAGAAGACGAAGACCAAGAGTTTTTGGATGATGTCGGCAAAGAACCCATCGACAAGAGCCAAGAGCCTTTGAAAAAGGTTTTGGCATAGGAAGGGGACAAAGAATGATTCCGTAAGAACTTGAATTTTTTAGACAACTAATTAATTTGTTAATAATAACATTAAGTCAATTAATAGTGATTATTAAATTATAATGTTTGTAGCATCATGATTAATAATAATATTAAACTCCTTTAAGTAAATTTGTTTATCTTTCTGTGATTAAATTTCTATTTGTAAAAACTAAATGAGTTAAATAAATAATAACTAAGTTAGTCAGAGGACAGCAGGGAGCAAAACATCTAGTGATTAGCTTATAGATACATTGATTTTATTTTGTACACACACACACGCACATAAAAAAAAATGGAATCATATTTTTGTCTAAGGATTTTGGACACCTGTAGCTTGCTTTTCGTGCTCCTTTCGGATACGATTAGCCCTACAGTTCGGACTCCCATGGTTCTAAATCTGGTTTCATAAGTGCAAGGTGAAATGGATAAACACAAAAGAGTCCAAATGCGACAAACCATTTTAGAAATCAAGTTTGAATCAAAAGATGCTAAAAAATGGATTGCATTGCCAGATTTCAGAGCCGCCACCTAAATGTTTTTGGAAAATTTAGGAAACGCGTGACACATGCCAAAGGCCATTAGTCCATCATCACCAAAGTGTCTCGGCTCAGGAACTTAGGTATGAGAGGGGAAGGTCATTAATTGAGCACCCCACTCACCTTATCAAAGATCAACCTCAATTAATCATGATGTGATTTTTGTTTACATTATATGCTCTTGTTCTGATTATTATGCTATCTTTATTAGGTGATGCACACAAGTATAGACCCAGTCACAAAATTTGGAATGCATTCATTTATGTTTGTTTTGAAAAAGTGTTTTGAATACAGGTCACTTGAAAAAGTGAGCTTGTATTTAAATTAAATTATTCCAACTTAAGTAAAAAGGCCTTCACCCACTGGCATTCAAATAGGTTTATCACTTAAGTACTTAGCCTCATGGAATACACTTGATATGGCAACACAAACATACAATGCAATATGCTAAAACAAGAAATGCTCACCTAATACTCCAAGGCAAGCCAAATAAAGCAAAATAATTAGAAGAAATACATGCTCCTAAACAATACAATATGACTAATGCAACACACATTATGAAAATAATGAGTTCGACTACTAGCATGGCATATGAACCAATTCAAAGCATGCGATGAAGCACGTATTCTAGCAAAGAATTTGAAATTGACATTGGTTAGAATGATGAGCCGAACCCTTATACATGTAAGACGAATGGATGCAAGTCATGGAAAATGCTAAGTAAATATAATGCTATCATTATAAGCGGGTAAATAAAATGGAGGAAGAAATGGGGGTTATAAGACATACACAAATTATTATATATTTTGCCCTCGTGCAAGAGGGTCTGAATGTCCAAGTGTCCGAATTAACTACTTATTACAAGTCCAAATGAATAATAAATAAATAACTAGCTACTTATTACAAATTCGAATGAATAATAATTAAATAACTAGCTATCTAACTTATTACAACAAGGATAGTATAACAATAAGAATTACAACAACATAATATTACCACAATAAGTACAATAATAATAGTTACAACAATAATATGAACATTAATACTACAACATTAAAAAAAATTCACAAGGATCGCATGCACGTCAATAAAGACAGTTTGCAGAAATTGCTTTGTCTGCCCTCTGTGGAACTGCTCTGTTTCACCGTCAGCCATTGCCCCTTGTTTCTGTCCAAAAGTACTTTGCTTACCAAACATTGGAGCCCGGCCGACCTCTAATGAGGCCCGACCAAGTCCAAACAAGGCCGGTCGTGCCCTATTTTTATGCAGAAAAATATTTGTGTGCTCTTAGGTGAAAACAGTGCAGACAGAGCCTTTCTAAGCCCTGTTTGTCCTATCTGCTCTTGTTACCCAAAAAGCAACCTAAGAGGGGGGGTGAATTAGGTTTCTACAAATTAAAATTAATAATACCCCAATAAAATTAACTACTAGTACAACAAATTATTAACAAGCACAATGATGAACTTAGCAGTAAATGATCAAGCAAAATAACAATGAAGTATAACTAACATACAGGGTAAATCAAATAATTAACACATGAATATCAGATAGCTATAGCAGTACTAGGAAAGTAAAGAGATTAGGGAAGAGGGGACAAACAGATTTATAGTGGTTCGGCTTCAACCAAGCCTACATCCACTCCTCAAGCTTCACTTGAGATTTTCCACTATCTTCTAGGTTCACAGGGGTGCTAGCAACCTCTTTACAAATGGAGCAATCCTCCATGGATTTTATACAGACTTCACAAGCCCAAACCCTTTCAAATCTTAGGTTATTCACAATCACTCTCAAGATTTCAAGAACACAGTGTTTGCAACACTTTTACAAGATGAAATGATATTTTTGCTTTCAATGAAAGCTTACAATAAATATCTCTCAAAGATGGATATACAAAATGAAACTTTGGTTTTTCTATAAACCTCACACAGGAAAGACAGGCTTAAAGCTATAAGGCTCAGTGTATATTTTCTGAGAGAGGATGTAAACAAAAATTGAAGAACACTCCTCAGAGAATTTTTCAGAGAATAGATGTAGTGATTATAGATCAAAGAATATTTTCTAGTTTTTTTTTAAACTTGTTTACATTAGGGGCTTTGGTATATATAATGAAACTTATAGCCGTTTATAGCCGTTGTATTCATTTGAATTTATAGCCATTTATAGTCGTTGTACTTCATCATTACTAATTTGAATATCTTCCACTCTATCATTATAAATTTGTATTCATTTGAATTTATAGCCGTTTATGGCCGTTTATAGCCGTTGTACTCCATCATTACTAATTTGAATATCTTTCACTCCATCATTACAAATTTGAATATCTTCCACTTGAACCTTTTGAACCTTTTGAACTGCTGCTATGCTGGGCTATTTGAACCTCAGTTTTTGGGCTGTTTGAACTCCTGATTTAATCAAATATTAAATACATTCTAACAACATTTAGGATAAAGGTTTAGGTGAGAAATAATGGGACAAAATAAATTTTGATTCTATTTTTCTCTTTCAAATAAATCATCAAAATAAATTTTGATTCTATTTTTTTCTTTCAAATAAATCATCAAAATAAATTTTGATTCTATTTTTCTCTTCGAAATAAATTAAAAACATAATTCAATAAATCATCAAAATAAATTTTGATTATACTTTTCTCTTCGAAATAAATTAAAAACATAATTAAATAAATCATCAAAATAAATAAGTTTAACAGTTCTTCTTTGTCACAGGGAAACTCAAGAGAAGAACAGATTCGTTTCCGAAACCATCAATGGTAGCAAGTTGATTGCTTGATTTCGAGCACGTTTGGACAAAAAGTTAATAAATGTAATGAAAGACAACCACCCCTCCCTCCTATCATGAAATTAGCTCAAAGAGGGAGGTAGACACGCCTCAAATTCATCAAAATATCATGAATTAATATATGACGACTCTTGGCGCGATGGACTCGGCATAACGTCCGGCCAAATCTAACCAATTTTATTCGTCTTCTTTATGTTGGTTTCATTGATTTTAAGCCAATTTTATTAGTCCTTTTTGACTTACCTTTCCATTCTTTAATCATTTTGTCCCAAAGTGATATTTAAGTCCACTAAATGAAGAGAAATGTCAAACGAGAAGTGATCTTTAGCATGAAAGAGAGACTATGCCTTGACGATGAACCTCCGAAGAGATTAAGCCATTGAGCATAGGAGGTTTCTTTCTCATGCCTCAAATAACAATCAATCGCTTGAAACAACTCTTAAACAAAGAAAACCAAGAAAGGAGGGAGGGCGCAGAAATGATTATGCGAAGTTGATTATTACCGAAAATGGAACTCTTTACAAAAAGCTAAGTAAAGAAAGCTATCAACTCGAATGACTCAATGTCTACGGTCTAAACAACCGAATCCATGAGGATATACGACACAACAAGCAAAGTATTCAAAGCATAAACTAATTAAATGAATTAAAACAAGCCTAAACAGCTCCTAAAACATAAAAAAATAGTAGCTAAAAGTATGTTTAAAAGAGTACAAAACATAGCCAAAAACAAAGGGATACAAAACTAATAAACAAGACCAAGGAGGGGTGGCTAACCCCTCTACTTTTTGGACTTATAAACCATTTTTTAGCCCTTTTAAACTCTAAAAATAAGTTTGTAAGCCAAGGAAAAGAGTGTAAAAACAAGGGTATGAGCTATGGGGTAAAGAGCAAGAAAGGGTGTTAAGCCTCTCTACCTTTGGTAGCTCTCCAACCCCAAGTTCCAACACTTGAAATGGATACAAAATAGAACAAAAACACAAGAAATAGATAGAGAGAGATTGTAATGAAAGCAAGGAAAAAGGTGACAAGCTTATATCTCTTGAAGAGAGCAAGCTTTGGTTGTAAACCAAACTTGATTCTAGAGCACTCTCAAGGTTGAATTATGATTCTAAAGGCTCAACCAAAGCTCCAAGATTCAACTCTAAGGGTGTATATGATGTATAGATATGATTCGAGGATGATACAATATCACAAAGCTAGCTTACAAAGGAAGAAGGAGCTCTTAAAGGTGTTTTTGCTTCTTTGAAAAAGGTGACAAGCTTAACCCTCAAAATAGAGATGTATACTTGTATTTATAGAATTTGAGCCAAATAGATCATACATATCTTCAAAAATAGACAGCTGCCTGATTCCCGCCCAAAACAGTGTTTCTTGCCCAAAAGGCACGGCCGGGCCCAAATAAGGCACGGCCGGGCCCCAATGTGGCTTCCCTGTACCTCTGTTTTAAGCTCAGAGTAGGTTGGCATGGTGTTAAACAATGG